ATCCATCCATCCATCTATCTATCTATCTATCTATCTATCTATCTATCTATCTATCTATCTATCTATCTATCTATCTATCTATCTTTTTATAGTGCCCTTCTCTCCTGTGTGACACAGTTACAAACCTAAGAACAGCATCATTTTATACATTTGAACACTACTTGAGGTCTACCTGCAGTTGATACCTGGGGACCCTTCTAGTTGATTCAGTATCACTCCTTAAAAAAACAATCCCCATAAAGTTGTTAATAAGGCCCCAAAGATGAATGACTCCCAGGTAGGCTCCCAGGTGATGGTCCCAGAGGTAAACACTCCGAACTCTCATCTCTCCAGCTGCGATAATTGTTCTGTCTCCTTCCCACAACTGCGGCCTCTTCTAAACAGCTGCCTGAACGTTTGAAGTGGAAAATAATTCACTCTTACAGAGCGATGGGGAAAAAAATCTATAAATGCTTCCATGCAGCAATTTCGATTCTACGGACTATTGTTAAGAAATGGAAGCTTAGAACTGTTGGACTCAAGGGGAGGAAAACTAGAAGACACACACACACAGAGAGACACACACACACAGACACACACACACGTGTCTATGTCTATGTCATTTCAAGGGATTATGGAGTCGTTAAATGAAGAATTATTTGCAAATAATTCAAAACTTGCAAAATTAATCTCTTGCTCTACGCTTTCCAATTGGGTGGCTCAATTTCCCCTCCAAAAACAGATAGTGTATTTCTGCTACAACACAACAACATCGCCTTTCCTGACCATTTCAACATGTTGATGCAATCACGGGGCATTTGATTTAATTTTTTTCTCCTAAGAATATTTCTCCCCTTTTTTTTTCCGGATGGCCTGCAGCCATCCTGATGTGGAGAAGACATTTGGGTTTCAATGACTTAGGCCATCAAATGAGCTCCTTTCTCTTCCCAACTAGGTTCCTGAGCAGAAAAACCCATCACGGCTTTTTTCAAAAATGCCCAAAAAACTCATAACTCAAAAGCAATTATTAGCTGCCTGCTATTTAGCTACCAGCAATGTTGCAACTGCTTGCAAAGTTCCAAATTAGCAGCCGCCAAATGGGAAATGAAAGCATTTATTACTCTTGAAAGCTAATTCTGCACCCTTCTTACGCCTTGAGACGGCTTCCTAATCTTATTGTGTTTTTTTAAAAAAAATAGCGTGCATCGACTTCCTTTTATTTTATTTTTTTAAACCAACCTATCAGATCTTAACTAGGTTGCTTTCTAACCGGTTTCAGCAAACAGCTCATTAGAGTGGTACGCTCCGTATATTCTGTTCGTTGTGTCATTATAAATCAACAATAACTGTGTGTGAAACGGGCTAATCGTGATTGTTGTTGTTGTTTTCCCCTCTCTCTTTCGTAGTTAAAAAAAAATGCCAAGGAGTTGGAGACTAATGGCCATGACGAATCTCAGGCAAAAGTAGGTGCAATTTTGGGTTTTTTTTGAAATGAAAGCTGGTTTTGTTAATGGATTAATGGTCCTAACAAAGAGTAACCTTTTCTGAAATTGAAGGCGTGCTACTTCGGGGTGCTTATTTCGAGATAAATGAATTGATTTCTTTTTTTAATTTGCCATGCAAGAATTAACGGCTCCCTTGCCTTGCCACATGTATAATGGAAAAGTTTTTTAAAATATATATATATATATTTCTTGTTGCTGAAACATTTCTATGCCTGGGACTGAGTAATGTGGGTAACCTGGTTTGTGTAGATGTTCACATTTTCATCCCTGAATTTTCAGAAGATGGTGGGTTTTGAGGTTTTTAGTTTCAAAAAATTGGGCATTCTAGACCTCATGGGAAAAACCCCAATCTTCCAGTTTGTTGTTGTTGTTAGTTGCGAAGTTGTGTCCAACCCATCGCGATCTCATGGACAATGTTCCTCCAGGCCTTCCTGTCTTCTACCATCCTCTGGAGTCCATTGAAGCTCACGCCGGCTGCTTCGGGGATTCAAACATTTTTACTACCGGTTCTGTGGGCGTGGCTTGGTGGGCGTGGCAGGGGAAGGATACTGCAAAATCCCCATTCCCTCCCGATCCGCTGGGGCTCGGGAGGCAGAGAATAGACGGGGAGTGGGGCCAGTTTAGAGGTGGTATTTACTGGTTCTCTGAACTACTCAAAATTTCCACTACTGGTTCTCCAGAACTGGTCAGAACCTGCTGAATTCCGCTTCTGGTCTTGCTTAATGACAGAAATTTGGGGCAGAATTGTGGTCGTAAGTCGAGGACTATCCGTATTTGGGGAGGCTTTCTTTGCATGAAGAGGAGGGACGGAAGGGAGCCCGGTTGTGGGCACAACACGGCAAATACTTCTTCAAAACCCTGGATAGTTTAGGCGTCCCGGCAACACGTTGGAGAAACGTGAATTACGGAATTACATGCGTTAATAAAAGGAAGTTGAGAATCCTTCATCCCCCGGAGGCGCGTCTGTCGCCGAGTGTTTTGCAGATCAGAATGTCTGGAGAGGGAAGGATGGCTTAGTTTTCCGCATGGTTATTAGTGGTCTGTAATGCCTTTAATGGGATTAGTACCTATTTGATACACACTGACAAGCTGGATTTAGCACAAATACCCACCTAGGAGTCAGCGCGGAGATTCGGTAACGCCAGGAAGGAAGGGCTGAGCTCCCCCTTCCATGATTTTAGAGAATCTTTTGAGAGGTTATTTTAAGTAGGAATAAGAAAGCAGATTGTGATAACTTCTCTCTCCTTCTCTCTCTCTCTTCCTCCCCACTCTCTCTTTCTCTGTGTGTGTGTGTTTCTGTTTCTCTCTCTCTTTTTCTCCCTCTCTTTAACTCCCTCTTTCTTTCTCTCACTTCTTTCTCTCTCTTTTTGTTTCTCTCTCTCTTCTCTCTCTTTGGTTCTCTTTCTCCCTCTTTCTCTTTCTCCCTCTTTAACTCTCTCTTTCTCTCTAACATTTTTCACTCTTTTTGTTTCTCTCTTCTCTCTCCTTCTCTTTGTTTCTCTCTTTCTCTCTCTCTCTCTGTGATTCTGTTTCTCTCTCTATTTTTCTCCCTCTCTTTAACTCTCTCTTTCTCTCTCTCACTTCTTTTTCACTCTCTTTGTTTCTCTCTTCTTTTCTCTCTTTGGTTCTCTTTCTCCCTCTCTCTCTTTCTCTCTCTTTAACTCTCTCTTTCTCTCTAACCCTTTTCACTCTTTTTGTTTCTCTCCTCTCTCTTCTTCTCTTTGTTTCTCTCTCTCTTTCTCCCTCCCTCTCTGTTTCTTTCTCTTTCTCCCTCTCTTTAACTCTCTCTCTCTCTCTCTCACTTCTTTCTTTTTCACTCTGTTTTTCTCCCTCTCCTGTATTTCTTCCTCTCTCTCTTTCTTCCTCTCTCTTTCTCTTTGTCTTTTATTTTTCACTCTTTGTTTCTCTCTCTCTCTTCTCTCTGTTTCTGTCTTTCTTTCTCTCTCTTCCTCCCTCTCTCTCTTCCTCCCTCTTTCTCTTCCTCCCTCTTTCTTTCTCTCTTTCTTCACACACCCCTCTCTCTTGTTTTTCTCTCTTTCTTTGTTTGATTGTAGGAGTAGCATGTTGATAGAACTTACACACACACAAAAAAGTAATTCTTCTACAGGTGTTCCTCAGGTTACAACAGTTCATTTAGTGACCGTTTGAAGTTACAACAGCACTGAAAAAAGTTACCTACGACCGTTTTTCACTCTTACGACCATTGCCCCATCCCCGTGGTCACGTGAACAAAATTCAGACGCTTGGCAACTGACTCGTACTTATGACCATTGCAGTGTCATGACGGGATCCCCTTCCGACGAGCAAAGTCTGTGGGAAAACCCAGATTCATTTAACGACCATGTTCCTAATTTAACAACCGCAGTGGCAAGAGAGGTTGTAAAACAGGGCAACATTGGCTCAAGAAACGTCTCTCTTTGCAACAGAAGGCTTGGGCTCAATTGCTGTCGTAAGACGAGGACTACCCACATTTGTTGGGGGTTTTTTTTGCCAGAAATTGGGGTCCTATCTAAACTAGTACCCTATTGTTATAAAATTCAAAAACACTAAAAACAGAAATGCAAACATGCAACCACAATTCAGCTTTGAATCCAAAGTTTATTTTTTCATGATTAGTTCAAAGATGAAAAATGCCAGAGATTTGCACCAGTACTTCAGTAAGAGTTCATTTACTTGGTTCTCGTCGCAACACGGGTTAGAGATAGCAGCCAAGTCCAGGGAGGAGCAGCTACTATCAGTGGCATCGACATGATCACAAGCGTTCATTTTTATGCCTTTTTCACGTCTCCTCCGTTCCCTAGGAGTTAGCAATAGCAATAGCAGTTAGACTTATATACCGCTTCATAGGGCTTTCAGCCCTCTCTAAGCAGTTTACAGAGTCAGCATATCGCCCCCAACAATNTCTGTTTCCCACTCTTCCTCCCATTGGTGTATTTCCGCTTCTGATTGATTGATTGATCATAATAGAACAATAGAGATGGAAGAGGTCCTATAATCCAACTTCCCTGTATCATTTCAGACAAATGCTTGCCCAATCTCTTCTTACAAAAAACTTCCAGTGATGGAGCACCCACAACCTCTGGAGATCTTTTACCCATAATTTGGTTAAAAACATTGACATACACAGAAAGTCTCTTCTTCTTGGGTCCCCTTTGGTGGATTTCCCCGTGGTGAAGAATTCTCAGATGCTTCCTTAAGTTTGAAGAACAAAGCAGAAGTTAGACAGATGATAAGATGTATTGAAGCCAAGTTAACCGGAGTCTAAAAACACATGCCAAGAAAAATATATGCCAATGTATATTGCTCATAGCTAAAACAGAATAACATTTGGAAATTGGAGTATGAAAGTTTGACTGAAAATAGACTCTTTTTTTCCCCTGCCTTCTTGATTCCAATATATAAATCATTGGGTTTCTGGGAGACATTCTCTGGATTTTAGATTTAGATAACTTGATTTGTAGGTTACTGTGAAACTGTTACACACAATGATGGTGATAATTATGGGATGATGATGATGGATTCTTGTTGATGTTGTTACAACTGCACAAAATGCCTAGGGAAAATGTGTGTGTTCTCTCACACATGTGTATTTGGCAACATAATCAGAGAAATCCAGACACAAACATTATTCCATAGGCAGTAGGCCATGCGGTTAATATCATTCATTTAATCCTTGCTAGAAGTTTCCTAGAAGGGACGCAGTGGCTCAGTGGCTAAGATAAGCTTGTCGATTAGAAAGGTCGGCAGTTCGGGGGTTCGAATCCCTAGCACCACGTAATGGAGGGAGCTCCCGTGACTTGTCCCAGCTTCTGCCAACCTAGCAGTTCGAAAGCACGTAAAAAATGCAAGTAGAAAAACAGGAACCACCTTTGGTGGGAAGGGAACAGCGTTCAGTGCACTTTCGGTGTTGAGTCAAGCCAGCCACATGACCACGGAGACGTCTTCGGGCAACGCTGGTTCTTTGGCTTTGAAACGGAGATGGTCACCAACACCCCCTAGAGTCGGGAACGACTAGCACATACGGGCGAGGGGAACCTTTACCTTTACCTGATGTCAAACAAGGCTGCAAGTCCATTTTGCTATACCGACAACGTATAAAGCAGTGTTTCTCAACCTTGGCAA